AAAACAAAAACACTAATTCAAAAAGATATATGTATGCACCTCTATGTTTATAGCAACATTACTTACAATAGGCAAGATACGGAAGTAATTCAAGTGTCCATCAATGAATGGATAAAGAAGATATAGTGTACACATACATACACACACACACACACAATGGAATGTTACTTAACCATAAAATATTGAAATCTTACTATTTACAATGACATGGATGGAGCTAGAGGGTATAATGCTAAGAGCAGTAAGTCAGAGAAGGACAAATACCACATGATTTCACTCATGTGGAATTTAAGAAACAAAACAAAGGAGCGAAGGAAAAGAAAGAGAAAGACAAACAAAAGACCAGACTCTTATTAACTATAGAGAACAAACAGATGGTTACCAGGGGGAAGGTGGGAGGGGGGATGGGTGAAATAGGTGAAGTGGATTAAGAGTACCCTTATCGCGATGAGCACTGAGCACTATATGGAACTGTTGAATCACTATGCTGTACACCTGAAACTAATGTAACGTTGTTAACTATTACAATGATTAAGAAAAGAAACCCAAAAGAACACCTGAAATTCAGGGAGTGTGACTTGGTCAAGGTCCTGTGGTTAATAAGCAAAACAGACTGTGTTTCATTTCCTTAAGATCTCCTTATCCCCATAGCTCACAAGCTGCCTCCCACACAGAGACCTGGATCCGGCTCCCTACCTGGCTCTTACAGGTCCCGTGCCAGTCTGGGACTGGTGTCTTGGCCATGAGCCTGGGCCCTACATCTGAGTCTTGTTCTAGTTCGCAGCCACTGATCACTATGTCTTCTCCCTTCGAGGCCTCACTGGAGCTCTGCTCAAACCACAGGCTATGTTCCAGAGTTAACATACCTTTTCGGAGTGCCTACCACGTGCAGAGGGCATGCAAGCAGGAGGGCCTCCCTGTTGCCGTTTGCTTCTACATCCATGCTACCCTGCAGCAATCCGATGGCCCTGCTTTCTCCCACTGCCCACCACTGGGCTCGTCCCTCCACGTTTGCACCCTGATATGACCATCACTCTCCAGGCCCCAGCATCTCTGCATACAAGTGCAAATCATGGCTAGAGAGGGCACTTTATGAGGTGGCCTTTCAGCAGGCTTCAAGGAGATACTGATTAGCACACTGAGAAGACTAGTCAGAGATGAGTGATGACAGGCCAAACTCAGCCCTGGGTAAACACTCAGACCTTTGCCACTCTATGAAAGTATTGTTTAATGAGGTGGATGAGTTGCATTGGGAAAAGTATAGGTCAAAGCATTTTGTTGATAGAAAACAGACTAAATAGCCCTCTTAAGCTGGTGATTAAAAAGGCTTGACTTGTATCAACTCTACTTGGTGAGGTCACATAAAAAGAACTGAAGGTAGGTTTTTAGCTTGACTACGGAGTACAATGATCTCTGTGATTCTTGACTTTTTTAAAATAAATTCTTTAAAAAATAATTTTTTAATGTTCATTTATTTTTGAGAGCCAGACACAGAGTGTGAACGGGGGAGGGGCAGAGAGAGAGGGAGACAAAGAATCTGAAGAAGGCTTCAGGCTCTGAGCTGTCAATACAGAGACTGATGTGGGGCTTGAACTCATGAACTGTGAGATCATGACCTGAGCTGAAGTCCGGTATTTAACTGACTGAGCCACCCAGGCTCTCCGCCTCTTTATCTAGGATAAACAAAGAGGAAAAAATTTTCAAGTTTCAAATCATGAACTTAGTCTTTCCAGTCTGCCTATGGCTTTGTGATTATGATTCCTTGTCGCAAAAGTCCTAGAAAGGTTTTCAGTTAGTTCATCTATGATAGAGTTACAAGGAAATGCCATTCCTACTATTGTGCAGATTCCCTGCAGCACAGATCAAATGTCAGCTGAATCATTTCAATGGGCTTTGTTAATATCCTGCCGCAGTGCACCATAAATGTGAGGACCCTCAGAGAGTGGCCATGATAATCATAAATCAGATAATAAATAATAATCATAAATAATAATAAATAAGATTTATCTAAAAATATTAAGAAATAAAATCTGGCAAACATCTTTGTCTTTATTTTATACATCCAAGAATCTTCTGGGTGTGCCTGGGTGGCTCAGCTGGTTAAGTGTCTGACTCCCGATTTCAGCTCAGGTCATGATCTCTCACGGTTTGTGAGTTTGAGCCCCACGTGGGGCTCTGCGCTGACAGCTCAGAGCCTGATTGGGATTCTTTCTCTCTGGATTCTGTGCCCACTTACTCCCTCTCAGTCTCTCTCTCAAAATAAATAAACTTAAAAACATTTTTTTTCTGACAATGATTCAATGTGTCAGTTGAGATTTCAGAATAAAACACTGTTTTCAAATGCCCTGCCAAGATAATATTCTACCATGCACCAGCCATTTTCATGGAAACTTTTAATTTAACCTCTTCATAACTTGTGACAAAGTCAGTGGGTACTTCTATCTCTTTTGCCATATTTATGACACTGCTTGTTTTCTAGGAAGGGAGTTAAAAATGCAGAGTTTACATTTTCAAAGAAGACAGAACGTGGACTAGTCTGACGTGGCTAGTCAGCCTTTCATTATCAGCTCAGAGCGGACAATAAAAAGATTATGACTTGAGGGTACAATGGGGTGAGTGTATCCTATAAAAAGGAAAACTTCCATTGCTTCTTCCCCCCCCCCCCCAACTTATTTTATAAACACCCTTTTCCTGAATAACAATCATGTCAGGGCTGGACTCATAATTCCAAACAATTGCATTAGATGCAGTCTTTGAAAGGTCATGTCACTTGATTTTGAGCTGAAAGTGGGGTCCTCCCACTGCTGGAACAGTCATCCACTTTGACCAGGTCATCCTCAGTGTAAGAACTGAAAACAGCCATGGGAGTTGTGGAGACCACGGCACTATTAGCTCACTCTTTAATTTCTTGGCTTCAATGTTATCACATGACTGAATGTGGTTTGAGTGGACACAATGCATGCAATATTTGAAATATCATCTCTTATATCAACTTGTTTTTTTATGAACAGTGCCTTAAGCATATGGTTAATAGTATTTATTTTACAAATAGATTTGTCAAACTGCCAGAAATTATTTTAAAAAGACGTGCAAATAGAGAGGACCAATAATCTTGATGATCTTTCATTTCTAGTTTCACAGTGGTACACTCAATAATGGCCTCCAAATCAAACATATGCACTCTAAAAGTTACCAATTCTTTTTATTAACCTTGGCAAAAAGAAGCCTGTGATTCAGAATCAAATCAACACTTTCAAAATAAGAAGGACTGGCAAGAAAATACTAAACTCCAATTCCCAAAAGTCAACTCTTGGCAGGTATGGAAGTGCAACTTTTTCTAAAAGCTTCCTTTCCCAAGAGTTTTCCTGGGGCCATCTAAATCTAAGAATACCTTTAAAATTCTAAAAATGTAATTTCACATTCATAGTGTCTGGCATATGCGGAGTGCTTAAGAAATACTGATTGAATATTGAATAAAATGGCTATCAAAAAGGGGGAGCTTGAAGAGATTGTTTGGATCATCTTGACCAGCCTCTTAATTTTTCAAGGAAGGCAGAGAAGTCCAGAGATTCACTTGTTCAAAACCACACAGCTAGTAATTGGCAGAGCTGGATCTAGAACTCAGGATTCCTGACCTGAAACCCACTTTGCCCAAAGCCCCGTTCACTTCTTGGGTTCCCATGCACTTCCACTTAAAGAAAAATTTTTTTAATGTTTGTTAATTTTTGAGAGAGACAGAGAACAAGCAGAGGACAGAGAGAGAGGGAGGCACAGAATCTGAAGCAGGCTCCAGGCTCTAAGCTGTCTGCACAGGGCTCTACACAGGGCTCAAAGCCACGAACCGTAAGATCATGACCTCAGCCAGTCAGATGCTTAACCAACTGAACCACCCAGGTGCCCCTGCACTTGTACTTTAAAAAAATTTTTTTTAAACTTTTTTAAATTTATTATTGAGAGACAGAGAAAGACAGAGCATGAGCAGGGGAGGGGCAGAAAGAGGGGGAGACACAGGATTCAAAGCAGGCTTCCGGCTCTGAGCTGTCAGCACAGAGCCCAATGCAGGGCTCTAACTCACATACCGCCAGATCATGACCTGAGCTGAAGTTGGATGCTTAACAGACTGAGCCACCCAGCTGCCTCTGAACTTGCCCCTTTAAAGACTGAAGAAGCCTGGGGCCAAGAGCTCAGACCAACCTTCCCTGTATGAACAAATTGGCATTCTCACATCGGATTACATTACAGTGGGAATCTGCCTAGGGGCCATTTACTGGTAAGAAATCAGCTTGACTTTTTCCTAGAAAACTACCATTAAAGTAGTGTTACTTTAATCTGAAATGTTTTGTTAAAAATAAGTTAATTAGTGCCAGTCATTCCTATTTAATAAAAATGAATTAGAATGCTTTAGATTTATATAGGTCTTTACCCTTTATAAAGTGTGACGTGTATTACCTTGTAGTTCTGTTCCTTTAAGTATAAATTGACATCCCAGATGTTAGCTTGCTCATGGTAAATTAACTCTCAGTGTTATAACTGCAAGAGATGAAGGCAATGGAACCCATGAATGATTCCCAGTGGGCTAATGGGCTCTTCTTTGGTTTGGTGAAAGAAGAAGTGGGGGTAAGAGATAAGGCATCGTATCAGCAGGGGGCTGCGCAGGGGCAGGGCTCCCTGACTCACCTCTATTTACCTATATCCCAGGCTAGCCCACTCTCATGACCTCAGTGCAGCCATAATTTATTTGAACAGGAGGCAGCCAAGTAGGCACTTGACCTTAGACACCAACCACCCATGTTCCAAAAATAGCAAATGGTGAAGACAGCCTGATTTCACAAGCTTTCAGGTGAGCCCAAAGCAAAGAACAGGAGAAACCCCAATCAAAGATTAACTTCATCAGAGAGGCAAAAGGCTTTAAAGACCGCCCAGAGCTGTCTGGTCATCTTAGGCGCTGCCCCAGGACGGCAGGCCCGGCCTGCCCACCGTTCTGCACACTCAGACTTTACCTGCCTCGGCTGGTTGACTTTTGCTCCTGAAGACAACAGTAATCGAATGACGTCCAAGTACCCACCCTGGGCAGCTAAGAAGAGGGCCGTGGCTCCATCCTGAGAGATGGCAAAATGAAAGGGTGAAAATCAGCTCTCACGTTTATTTTAAAAGATAATCAATTAAAAATACATATGTTTAATACAACTTTCCATTTCTGTCCCCTACTTTGTTTTCATATTCATGGTGTTTTATTCTTTGGAGTAGTTCTAAAATATCATAGTAAGTCAGGATGAAAAGTAAAGTTTCAAACAGGCTTATATGGATAATTATAATATATGTAATGACCTTTCACTCTACAAAATCTTGATCATGGTGCTTACAATCTAACCACTTGCCAGTAGCATCCAGCTTGTTCAAACAGTCGGTTGTCATTTTTCTCTTGTCTGCACAGACTTCTCATTAGCTGCCTTCTGCTTTTGTTGTGTGACTTCAGGGTTTATCCCCTTTTTAATTAGTTTAAAAAACACCTACATTTAATATAATCTTCCATTTCATTCTTTTGTCAAGTAAGAGCTAAATGTTAGTTTAAAAACAAATAAAAAAGAAAGTCTATTAATAAGCAACAACAAAGTCCCCCAAACCTATTTGGTATATTTTTATGTATCAGAAGTAAAAGTGCCCCCCTTTTTAAAATGTTTATTTCTGAGACAGAGAGAGAGAGAGAGAGAGAGAGAAACAGAGTGTGAGCAGGAGAGGGGAAGAGAGAGGGAGACACAGAATCTGAAGCAGGCTCCAGGCTCTGAGCTGTCAGCACAGAGCCTTATGTGGGGCTCGAACCCATGAACTGTGAGATCATGACCTGAACTGAAGTCAGACACTCAACCAACTGAGCCACCCAGGTGCCCTACAGTGTCCTTTTAACTAGATCTTTCCTACACCTTTCTCTTTCTTGCCCCCTTATCCATATCCACCCACCCCCCAACATACAGTTTCTCTAAGCTTTGAAACAAAAGATGCTTTCAAGAAAACTGCCCTCATAAGAATAGCCATGAACTTGCTCCCTGACAGCCCAGAAGACACCAATAACACCTGTAAACAACGAAGCAATCCTGCACTAAAGCCCAAAGCAAGTTCTCGCTTCCAATTTTCTTTAGTGGTTTTGTTTGTTTTAATTTTTTTTAGGTTTATTTATTTTTGAGAGGGAGAGAGGCGGAGTGCAAGCGCGGGAGAGGCAGAAAGAGACGGAGACACAGAATTGGGTGCAGGCTCCAGATTCTGAGCTGTCAGCGCAGAGCCCAACATGGGGCTCGAATTCATGAGCTATGAGATCATGACCTGAACTGAAGTCAGACATTTAACCAACTGAGCCACCCAGGCGCCCCTGTTTGTTTATATTTTAACTGAATGTGTCTTCTGCACATTTCTTCTTTCTTGAAGACATGTCATTGGGAACATCAGCAAATACAGCAGTCAGTTCAGAGCATGCATGCTCCCCAGAATCTCACTTCTCACGGCGTTCGCAGAACATGGTGAGCTTCATCATTTTTAGACTGTGGTGGAAAACCTGAGCACGTCCTGGTGGAAAACACCTAGCTAACCCAGTTAATTACCACCCCTCCCATCAGGGACGCTAACCACAAGTTAAGATGCAAAGCACCTCTCCCTGCAAGTCCGACCAGGTGGAGGGTGCTAGTGGGTGTCCGTTGAGCTGCCAGACTCCTCTTAGGGCAATCATTAAAATATTACTCAGCCTGTACGGATTATAGAGCAGATGTTTGTATGGGGATAAAATGTTCAGCTGCTCCTCACTGTGTGCGTTGCCACAGAAAATCCACCATGCTCTTAGCAGCTATTTACTCTTGGGAATTTTCTAAAATCGATATCCAAACATTGCATTTTTACTGTGTAGTCCAAATTTCTGCTCCTAAAAGCTTGTGGGAGTCATTGACTGGGATCTCCCACGTTTCAGCTGTTTTTAGTGGAAACATTTACTTTGGACTGTTTGGGTAAGGGTAAAAGGAAGTTTCAGTGCACGAGATTTCTTGAGTCACTTTATAACAGGAATTGACTACAGGAATGGGTTCTCCCCAAACTCTACATTTCTAAGATTATGTGCCACGCTGGTGAGCCTTTTGGAAGAATGTTATTTAACAGTACAAATATGGCAGTCAATTTGGATTGCTGACTATTAATGGTAATGTTATGAACATCACAACTCACTTTCCTTTTCCAAAGACTTGGGCTCTTCCTATTCAACCCCCCCACCCCCACATATACTCTTATGTGCTCTCAGATATACTTCATTATATACAGCCAAAGGAATAGCCAAAGCTGTAACCTGTGTTTCTTAGATTTAGGCACACATCAGAACCACCTGCTTCTCAGTTGTGTCCTTGGAGATTCTGGTTTAGTTGGTCTGGAGCGGGCCTGGAAGTACTCTTTTAAGGCTCCCTACGTGATTCTAATGGCAGCCAGAGTTGAGAATCACCCTTTCAGACCAGTGTCAAATTATTCAATCATTCATTTGGGAAAACTGCAGGTTTTCCTGCAAAGGGTGTTACAGATTTTGAAGTGCAAAGGGTAACGCTAGTGGCTATGTGCTTCAGAGAGGTCTGTGATTTGTCAGTTAATCATGTAAACTCAGGAAAGCTTGTTCAAATGGAAAAGGTCACACCTACACATCTCATCGCATGGCTATGAAGGAATAGTGCCATAGGGCTAAATGGCTAGTGGTAAGATAGCCTAAAATGTGATTCCTAGGTAATTGGAAGTAGGAATTCTTGCACTCCTCACTATGAGATTCTATCAAGTCACTTTATCTCTTCATATTTTATTTTATTTTTTGTCCAAAAGCAGAGTAACATTCACCATAAATCTTCTGGAATTAAAAGAGCCTTTGGGTAATGTGCTAATTGCCAATTAGCTGCAAACAGACCCACACTAGCAGTAGCTGCGTTTCAAAGGTCAATGGTGCAAGCATTTCACAGGTTTTCAACTCCCCAAGCTCACTTGTCTTCCAAATAATTTGATTTCTCCTTCATTTGTGCCCTTCCTCCTCAATAACTCTACAATGGGAGCATTATTTTGGTTTTCAGCAAGTCCATGTGCTGGGCTTGTTCTGTTATGGATAAGCAGTGTCACATGATTTTTGAAGAGCCTAACTGCATAAGTTATATGAAATATCTCATAGGTACAAGAGATTTAAAAGGGTATAACCAAGATGGGTAAGCAAAATTATGTGTTTCTACACAGAAAAAGCTCACCTGGTCAACTACATCTTTTCCTTTGATGTTTCAGATTAAAGTCCTACTGTTCACTAAAAAAATTTTTTTAAAGTAGGTTCCACGGCCAGAGTGGAGCCCAACACGGGACTTAAGTTCACTACGCTGAGATCAAGACCTGAGCTGCGATAAGGAGTTGGACACTCGACCAACTGAGCCACCCAGGTGCCCCTAAAGTATTTTTGAAATTGGCATTTCTGGCATCCAAATTTAGACTGCAATAGTTCGTGTGATGAGGGGATGGGCAAGAGTCCACCTAATGTCCCATTGAAAATGTACTCACATAGAGTTGGTCGTGGATATTGGCTCCATGCTTCAGCAGGGTCTCAACCACTTTCATGTGCCCATACTGACTGGCAGCCAGCAGGGCAGTGCCCCCATCCTGCAAGGTATAAACACATTAGAATCAGTGCAGGCACCTATTTACCAAGCAGGTGCTCCTCACATCGTAAGAGCTTTGGAGAAGACCTTTCCCGTAGATAACAAGGAACTCACTTTTCCTCTTTTATCTCTTTCACTTTATAATCATGATCGGGTTCATCCTAAAGACATCATTGTGTTGTACATGTGGATGACTTGTTTGAGATAGATTACGGTTATTGGACTGTGTTATTATGAGTAATTCCCTGTGTCAAATTCAGAAGCATCTATTTGCATCTGAATAAAGGAAACAAAGAATAGGAAGTCTGTACCAATCAGTTCTTCTTGAAATTTCCTGAACAGTCTCCTGTGGCTTCTGGCTAGAGAGCTGCTTGACAAATGTTGACTTCTCTCTGTGGTTCCCCCCAGCTGTGGGCCTCTGTGATTAGGGTGATTTAAGGAGTAACCTTCTGGGGCCATTGTCTTCAAGGGACACGGTCTGTATCCATTAAGAGTAGATAACTATAGCATATCCCATGTGTCTCTCACCATCCTACTGGGCATTTTCTTTTGAACATGTGCCAGTTTGTCCAGATCTCTTTTAAAATGTGAGCCCTAGAACTAAACAGAGCACCAAAAAATAGATGCGGTCTGATGTGGAATGGGACATTCCTTTGTTCCATCCACACCACTTTTATCTCAACGGCCTAAATTAGAATTAGCTTTTATATCAACCACATTGCCCTACTGACTCATTGAGTTTGTGGTCAACTGAAACCTTTAATGGTTTTTCTCAGGTGCTACAGCTAAGGCATTTTCCCCCCCATCTACAGTTGGTGAGCTGTTTGTTTGGCTCTGTGAATTGGTAGGTGGACATCTGAGCTAACTGTAAATAATGCAAGAATATGTCATCTGGTTCTGAAATACAAATCAGAACTGTAAGATAGTGTGGTTTCTAAATTTGGGCATAAAGTGTCTATCTGCCTGCCTTCACACTCCCACCCTCACAGGGTCTGATTCAGTAGGTCTGGGGTGAGGCCCAGAAACAGGCTTTCTGACCAGTCACATGAGGGGACTGTGGTGTGCAAGTGGCAGGTGGACCTCACTTGGAGAAACGCTGTTGTGGGAGCTCCACTGTTCACGGGCTGTGGCGGGTGGGGCAGGGCCCTTGAGCTGTGATTGGGAGTGGGGAGAATGGAGGACAGAGACTGGAGGGCTGAGGCTGGTGGTGGGGGCGGCTGTGGATGGAGTGGGTGGGCAACAAGAACTTGCTTACTAGCAGCAATGAGCACCAACATTCCCAACTTTTGCTCTGTCAATTTTCTCTTTGCCTAATGAAGTAAGAGAAGAGCTAAAATATGGTGGTTATTATAGAAGAGCTGGTATCTTTTGTTTTTAACGACATATTTTTGGGGGATATAGATTCAATAATGATGAGAACAACTGTGGAAATAAAGGCAGTTCTGATTACAGGATCAAATGAAAACTCAAAGCCTCTGGACATTCTATTCTTCCCATGGAAAGTTCTAGGATACCTGCAGCTGACCTAATGGAAACATTTGGAATTGCAATCTGGGTCCCATGTTCCACGGATTTCTGGGACAGCACAAACTGGCTGACAGACAAAGGCTTCAAGCCAGCATTAACTTGTTAACCAAGAAGACTGACACAGCCATAAGGCTGGCTGTGCATGATCATTCTGACTTTGAAGTTCAAAGAGTTGAGATTTCCATTTGTAGGACTTTACTTTCTCTTCTTAGTTGTATGACTTTTATAATGAAAAATAAAATAATTAATATAAAAACTATATATGCAACACATATATTTTGGATTATTGTATATTATATTCATGTTTGGAGGCACGTGCAGAGTCCAATTGCAGGTTTCAGAACAGACTGATCCTATTTGAAATTCGAATCTTACAGAAATTCACAGCATTTTAACAGAAAAAATAATTCACTGGAAACTCTCCTGATACACAAATATCACTACAATGGATTAAGAAAGCCGAAAAGATTCCAAGTAAGGCAAATTTCCAGGAGTTTTTTGGTTATGATTAGGTTGGAAGTAAGTTGATAATTACATAACTGATAAAGCACTTCAAATTCTCCTATTATAAACCATTATCTTGTAAAATCAAATTGTGAACACAAAATTGATCTTTTAACAACCTCAGTTTTCTTATCCATGTGTCAAACATGAAGAATCAATGACTTCTTTAAAGGAAGAACTACATTTCCTTGCCTGACTGTATCAACTGTAATCATGTATTATATATTTCAATGAGGACATCTCAGAAAGTAAACTGCTTGTCAAGTCACCCTTCTTAGAAATCTCTCAGATTTGGGGCGCCTAGGTGGCTCAGTGGGTTGGGCATCCGACTTCCACTCAGGTCACAATCTTGCAGTTTATGGGTTCGAGCCTTGCATCAGGCTCTGTGCTGATGGCTCAGAGCCTGGAGCCTGCTTTGGATTCTGTGTCTCCCTCTCTCTCCGCCCCTTCCCTACTAGAGCTCTCTCTCTTACAAATAAACATAAAATTAAAAAAAAAAAAAAAGGAAAGAGGGGTGCCTGGGTGGCTCAGCTGGTTAAGCAACCGACTCTGGCTTAGTTTATGATCTCACGGTTCATGGGTTTGAGCCCCACATCGGGTTCTGTGCTGACAGCTAGCTCAGAGCCTGGAGCCTCCTTCAGATTCTGTATCTCCCTCTCTCTCTGACCCTCCCCTGCTCATGCTCTCTCTCTCTCTCTCCCTCTCTCTCTCCCTCTCTCTCTCCCTCTCTGTCTCCCTCTCTCAGAAATAAATAAAAACATTAAAAACAAATTTTAAATAAAGGAAAGAAATCTCTCAGATTCACTAACATTGGCTTAATACTTCAACAGCTCCTATTACAGCACTGTGATTAACCTTGAAGTGAAAAAAAGCACGTGAAAACAGGGAAACTTATGAAGCCCCTGCTACTATTATCCACTCTGCTAACAAAAGTTAGTGTCCCAAAGTAGAAAGCTACCAGTTCAAGACAGAACTTAAATAATTTCCCATAAAACTCTCCAGTTGAGAGCCCAGAGTGAGATGTCACGTTTTATACTGAATCCCTAGGACTACCTTTGAACCATGACAAGTAACTTTGTGGAACCCAGCCTTCTTAGGTTTGAAAATCTTGTAAAAAGGGAAGCACAAATTCATATTATTGAAGAAGAGAAACGAGTATTCATGACTACTGATATTCTTCAACAGTGTATGAAATCAAGAAAGGTCTCTTACTTTGGTCCTAAATTCAGTGGATGCTCCAAATTCAAAGAGAAATCTCACGACGTCATTATGTCCTTGCTGGGCAGCAAAGAACAGGGCAGTTGTACCTGACTGGGAGAGAGCAAGAGGCTGGTTTTAAGACATATAGACTTGCAAACAAAATAAAACAATATCCTTTTATGTAACCCTGCTAGCCTAGGAGGTGGCTACACTTGGACTGATTATATTCCTCGTTCAGAGAAGTGAGAACACGAAAGGAGAATGTATTGTTGGTGCAATGCAATGAATGGTGGACTCAAAAGATATGTTCCTCTACTAATTTCTGGAACTTGTGAACATTAGCTTATAGGGCATGAGATGTGATTAACTTAAGGATTTTTGAGAGGAGGCACTTATCCTGGCTTAGCCTAGTGGGCCCTAAATCCAGTGACAGCTGTCTTTATAACAGCGATGTAAAGACCCATTTGACACAGAGGAGAGGGAGAGGCAATGTGCCCACAGAGGCAGAGATGCGGCCACAGTCCAGGAATGCCTGCTGCCACCAGAGGCTGGAAGAAGTAAAGAATGGGTTCTCCTTGGGGCCTCCAGAGGAGGTGTGGTCCTGCAGACACACCTTGAATTTTCTGGCCTCCGTAATCCTAAAAGTAGAAATTCTGTTATTTTAAGCCACCTAATTGGTGGTAATTTGTTACAGCAGCCTCAAAGAACTAACATGCTTGGTAATATAGGGATTCATTCACAGAGGGAAGAATTCCGGAAGAGTTCTGGTTACAAAGTTTAGTGCCCCAGAGTAGAAAGCTACCAGCACAGAAAGAATCTCAGTAATTCATTCAAATGGGCTCAAAATATTTCTCAAAATGGGACATAGGAACAAGAAGCAGCCTGATTCCAAATCTTAAACCTATCAGTGATACTCTGAGACACATGTTTTAGCATCCTCTCTTCCCAGCCATTTATACAAGCCTACTCAAAGACTGGTAGCCAAATCATTGGGTAACATGAGCAAATTCATACCACTCTTGTGGGCGATACATAGTTTTCATATAAAGACCACTCTTCACTCCAGTGCTTGGAGCATGGAATAGGTGAATGCTACACTTTCCCAGGTACGGTGAAGAGAAAATACTCCTTCCATGGCTTGCCTGGAAGTGTTAAAGTGGTGGGTTCTCACCCAGGTGGGAGAAGCCAGGAGGACTGTGCCCTAAGGATCACTGATCACTCCAAAGCTTGTTCTTAAGTGTGTGTATATGTGTGTGTGTCTGTTTGTATGCATGTGTATGTGTGTGCCTGTGTGAGAGGGAACAATGAGCCCAGCCATTGTGGCAGAACACTTCACAGTCATGGCCATCTATCTTGGGCTACTCCCCCAACCAGATGCTGCCCTGGGGAGGCACAGGTAGTGTGATCATTCCCAGAGCCTTTCAGCCTACAAGGCAGGAGTGATTTTCTCTTCGGTTCCCACAGAAACAAGTGAAAACATCCTCTCATTGCTTTCCTACAGTGGATGACACTGGGTTCCAGAAACCTTAAGATGTAATCAGGTCTGGGGGAAGAAACTGAGCTAGAAAAGGAAAACCATCATCTTCTTAATAGATATTAATTTTAGAAACTACCAGGAAGGGGCACCTGGGTAGCTCAGTCGGTTGCGTGTCTGACTCTTGGTTTCAGCTCAGGTCATGATCCCAAGGTTGTGGGTTTGAGCCCTGCTGCTGAGCGTGGAGCCTGTTTGGGATTCTCTCTCTCTCACTTGAAAGAAAGGAAAGAAAGAAAGAAAGAAAGAAAGAAAGAAAGAAAGAAAGAAAGAAAGAAAGAAAGAAAGAAAGAGAGAGAGAGAGAGAGAGAGAGAGAGAGAAGGAAGGAAGGAAGGAAGGAAGGAAGGAAGGAAGGAAGGAAGGAAGGAAGGAAGGAACTACTAGGGAGAATTTCTAGAAATTGTTTCTTTCTTCACTAAGAAAAAAGATTTGTTTTTCACTATTTTTTTGATATATTGATTTAAAAGTTGTATTTCAGCAGCTTGAGTCAATTTTGGAACATATAGGTAGTGTCAATGATTGTGCACATGAATGTAGCATCTGTAGACAACAGGAGCCAGACTTCATGACAACTGTACATGCAGCTCTTATGCCTGGGAGCTTGAGCCAATATTGCTGGTTCTCTTGAGCAATGGTCTCTCAGGACCATTAGCTTCTGGTTCTTGCAAGCTTTGTGTGTCTAGATACCCAACCTTAGAAAATAATGGCAGGTATTTTTTCAGGAAACAAATATTTTGATATGGATTAAGTGGAAAAAATGAATTAGAATGAACCAAGGTTGGGGTGCCAGGGTGGCTTAGTTGGTTAAGTGTCTGACTTCGGCTCAGGTCATGATCTCACAGTTCGTGAGTTCGAGGCCTGTGTTGGACTCTGTGCTGACAGCTCGGAGCCTGGAGCCTGCTTCAGATTCTGTGTTTCCCTCTTTCTCTGCCCCTCCCCTGCTCGTGCTCTGTCTGTCTGTCTGTCTCTCTCAAAATAAATAAACATTAAACAAAAAAATTTAAAGAATGAGCCAAGGTAGAAGCCTGTTATATGGGTGAGTTCCAGAACTCTCAGCTTGCCAAACAGATGAGGTGATCTTGGGATCTCTTCTCTTTAGCAGCTCTATCACCAGAGACTGGCGTGGCTGCAGGAAATTCAGGGGACCACTGGGAACTCACACAGCAAGATCATTTGAGTCACAGGTTACCTCTAAACTGGACTTTGGTAAGTCCTTGAGGGCCATTTTGTTCAATGCACAATAGTTTTCATACCCAAGAATATTAGTTGAGCAACCAGAACCAAACAGATCAATGTAAAACCATAAAAACCATACGTTGGCTGGAAATAAAACAAAGGTTTCTCTTCTCTCTCAGATTTTCACAATTGTTCTCAAGATATTTTTATACATGTTGAACTTGCCCTTCAGGATAGAGTTTTTTGAGTAAGCAGATCTGAACCATATTGTTTTTATTAAAGATCATCTGTCTTTTCTTTAAAGTTATAATAAACCAAGGCTGTAAAGCATAACAGAAAAACAAAACGATTAGGGTAATTTCAGACTATAATTCTAAATGGGCCCAAACATTTTCCTCCCAGAAGGAAATTAGCTGCTGACGTGAAAAGTGGACTAAAACAATGCTCCAGTGTTGTGGAAATTGCTCAGAAGAATCTGCGTGTGAGAAGATTGATTGGATTTGCTACAGTTTCTCTGAGTGGCTCCTCTTGATAGACCAGGCTTGCTGATCCAGGACTACGGAGAACCAGCCTCCAGATTCTATCCATCAAGTGCCAGTCTTCCATGGTCCACAGCCAAGGTGACACCCAAAGGGGACAGGGGACGGACTTTAGATGACCCATGGAGTATTCAACCCTCACACCAGGGATGTCTTCATTTGCTCACTCAAGGGGAGCAGTCCAGTCTAGAAGATGGAGTACTGATGGATGAAAGTTTGGTTGATGAATCATCCTTTCTGAAACAACTATAGGGCAGACCCTCGAATAAGACTGGATTAAGGAAAATCAAAGGCTCCAGTTTGGATTGGAGCTTGCCTCAGGATGCCATCTTATGTCTGAGTCAGTGTGGACTGAGAGGTCAGATTCGCTTCAGGGATGACCTGTGGCTGTGTCTCCGTAAAGGTGAATTTGCAAGGCCCGAGATTAAATCTGCTCAGAAATAAATGGATCCCCTCAGACCTGAATCCCAAAGTATGTTAAAATGCCCAGCCTCCCACTGCTCTTCTGCACTGGAACAAGAATGGGCCCTCTAACAAGACTGAACTCCCAGGATGGCTCTTGAATGAACTAACTCATGTTAGTCCAATGTTCACCACATGGCTTTTTTGGGGACAGTGTATTTAATACGTGGCCGGTCAGAGAAGCCCTTTGAAATAATGGATGATTGAGATAGTCCAGCAAGTGAGCCTCATTAAGAACAGGTTGCTGGGGTGCCTGGGGGGCTCCGTCGGTTGAGTGTCTGAATTTAAGGCCTGCGTTGGGCTTTTTGCTGTCAGTGAAGAGACCACTTTGGATCCTTTGTCCCTACCCTCTCTCTGCACCTCCCCTGCTTGCATTTTCTCTAAGATAAACATTAAAAAAAAAAAAAAAGAAGAAGAAGAAGAAGAAGAACAGGTTGGTGACCCAATCCTTTGAAAAATGCAATGATCTTTATGGAAATCCTATAACTGGGGCACCTGAGTGGCTTGGTGAGTTACATGTCTGACTCTGGATTTCAGTTCAGGTCATGACCCCATGGTTCGTGAGTTTGAGCCTGCTTGGGATTCTCTCTCTCTTTCTCTCTCTCTGCCCCTACCCTGTTTGCACATGTAAGCATGCATGTGCTCTCTCTCTCGCCCTCTCTCTCAAAATAAAGAAATAAACTTTTTTTTTTCCAAAAAAGAAAATCCTATAACTTCTAAAGCACCTCATCCCAAGGGAAGAAGGAAGTACTGATTTGAGCTTGGGAGGAAATGTCTGAGTGTTTAAGGAATGTGGTTAGAGGTCCTGTTACCTCAGACTACAACCCATGCTTGAGAACAGTCATTCAACTGAAGTACAGCTAATGATCCATTCCTGGGCCTTATTTTAGGCATAATAAAGCCTGCAATCTGGATTCTAATGTTATTTAGGAAAAAAGCAATGATTACTCGTCTTCCTTGCCAATTCACTACTGTGAACATTTTGAGTCATTCTTATCCAAGTGTAAAACCTGACCCACCTCTCTCTGGAGATTGATGTCTGCTCCTTGCAGAACCAGTTCCCTCACACAGTCTATGTGGCCGGCATAGGAGGCCACCATGAGGAGCGTGGTGCCATGCTAGACGGAGGACAGACAGATGAATGGTTAGCCCATCATATGTCAGACAGGGTCCTGGAGAAGAGGCTGCAGAGAAGTCAGCTCCACTTGGGACATGTCCAAGTGCAAAATTTCCCACAATAATAAAGGCATCTCATGCAGACTAGACGGGAAAAAGCAAAGCGACACATTGCTGAGGGTGGAATTTTCAATTTAAAAATTCACTTAATCCCATTACCTTCAGAAGTGGTCCAACTGAACCGTAATTACTGCACTTTAAGGCAGTAGGGATGTAATGGTCTCATTTTATGATTCCTATTAAATGATTCCTGAGCCAAAACACTGTTATTAATGTAGAAGATGGGTTAAGTGGTACCAGTTGGTTTTCTGAGTTTAGAAGTCTTTATATTAAAACTGATCCAGGTAAAGATAAAAGGCACCTCAGGGAAATGGGAGACCACAGTAGTCAGTCAGGAGCCCTGGGGTTCATGTCTGCCTCTGTCCTCAACCAATAGTGTAACCTGGGGGCAAGGTGCTCGTAATTCTTGGGGTTTGTAGTTTAATTTACAGTCATTTTGGAGGGCTTGGAATAGTGATCTTAACCACTACCTCTGCATGTGCAGCAACCTGTCTTTTGGGGGTGGATGACAAGAGAGAGACAGATGGTTCTGCACAGAAGGAAGGCTCACTAGGTATAGGATGGTAAGTGACTCACAAGCCTCATTGTAATTTCATCAGTGGGATTTTGTAGGAAGACAGTAGAATTGAATGGTCACTGACACTATGATCTTGGGCTACTTATGGAACCTTTGCAAGGCTCACCCTCCTCATCAGCAAAATAGGGAATAATAAAAGCATCTTCTGGATTATATTAAATGAGTAAGTGATATAATGCAGGCAACGTGCTTAGAATAGTAATGTTAGATATTAATTCAGTAACTGTTAAATATTGAAACTTTATGATACTTCAGTAAATGTTCGGTAATCATCTGGCTTTTGTTGATCTCTGTGAATGACAATACTAATTTTGGGAAAGTCTTACTTGCTATGGATTAAAAGGACAGGTTGAGTAAAAGAAAAAAAAAAGCTAACGGCCTCATAGAAGTACTCTATATTTTTTCTACCTCCATGTGACTGTGTTTGGTATTTGAATGCTAGACATTTGTGTAGGCTGTACCATCCATTATTAAGTTGAACACCTTTGTCTGTATTTTCCAAGATTAGAGTAGTGCGTGGAAGTTGGTATTACTAACTTCCTCCTGAATATGAACAATTTTTATTTAGAATGCAGATAGAAGAATCCTTGAATTAAAACCAATCTTGGGGTACCTGGGTGGCTCAGTGGGGTGAATGTCTGACTCTTGCTTTCAGCTTAGGTCATGATCCCAGGGTTGTGGGATCGAGCCCCTCCATGCTCAGCATGGAGCCCGATTAAGATTCTCTCACTCTCCTTCTGCCCCCTCCCCTGCTTGCACACACACTCTCTCAAATTAAAACAAAACAAAAATAATGTGAAGGATTGCTAGGAAGATAGTGAAGTAGGAGGACACTAAGCTCACCTTGTCCCATAGATACAATGGGAATATCAATAGATATACAATGGCAGTTACAATAGATAACACTCACATTGGTGTAAATAACTGAAAATGATCCAAAGATTGGAAGAACAAACTCCATAACTAAAGGTAGAGAAGAGTCCACACTAAAGAGGGTAGGAAGGGTGCAGATGTGGTGGGGAGCTAAATGGACCACTGCTGTATGCAGGGAGTGGGGGATTGGGGTAGGGAGGGAGCTGTGGAGAGGGAAGAGAAACTGACTATTTCACTGGGGAACCTGTATGTGGAAGGTTGAGTCCTCATAATATTTGGCTTTGAAAACTGGAGGGATAGAATTTCTGGACTTAAATCTTACAATTTTAAAAATCAGTGGCCCAGCTCTGGGAGAGGCTGGAGGGTGAGAGGAAACTGAAATCTTTACCCTTAAAGAGACAGCACCACAAACAGCTCATGGAAATAGAATACAGAAGAAGCAGTTTGAAAAATGCCTGGGGTATATGGGAGGGAGATTTATTTACTAGTCCCAGAGGTGTGCTGGAGGAGCTGGGAGCGTTGGAAGACTTCTCCAAGAACAAAGGAGCTGGCAGGAATCATTTCCTTCCCTGCCCTCCAGTAAAAACACAACCACCTGCAGGAACCAGTGCAGCACCCACATTCGCTACCTAGCTTGCTAACACCACTGCCCCTTCTTCTCCCCCAACCTTGGGCATGTTGTGGATCTACCCACTCTAATACGTTCTTGGCCAGAGTCTACTCAAACCAGGGCCACAAGTCTGGTAGTGTGAAAGCAGCCTCAATAAGGGCCAGCACCACTTCAAAGCAACTCCTGCCCTGGGGAGAAGGAAAGGTAACAATACACAGGACTCATACCGCAGCCCCAGCAGTGGGCTGAGGGCAGACGGCTGGTCTGATTGCAGGCCCCGCCTACCAACAAAAGATTCTCTGGACAACACGGGGAAAGTACACTGTAGTTTGGTGCTACTGCATCTCTGGCAAATACCTCGTATGATTAAACTCAAGCCCAGGACAGCCCCAGACTGGCCCACTAACACTATAGGGACCAAACACTGCCCAAAACAGGCAAAGAGAGCTACTGCAGATGTCTGAACTGAAGGAAAAAGTGGCTCAACCACAACAGCTGGGCACACAACACATATAGGAGACACCTCTGAAGCACCAGTTTCTGGTGAACATGGGACACTGCACTGCAAGGCACTACAGGACCTCTTCTTCATAAGACCACTACTTTCAAGAGCAGGAGATGTAGCTAAGTTTCCTAATACACAGAAATATACACAGAGAGTTAGGCAAAATGAGGAGACAGAGAACTATGTCCCAAAGGAAAGCACAGGACAAAATCACTGCAAGAGACCTAAGAAAAATGGAGATAAATAATATGCCTGATAGGGGTGCCTAGGTGGCTCAGTTGGTTAAGTGTCCAACTTCGGCTCAGGTCATGATCTTGTGGTTTGTGAGTTTGAGCCCCATGTCGGGCTCTGTGCTGACAGCTCAGAGCCTGGAACCTGCTTTGGATTCTGTGTCTCCTTCTCTCTGTCCCTCCTACTCTCTCACAAAGATAAATAAACATTAAAATTTTTTTTAAAAAATAATAGAGATATGATAGAAATCTATCTCTACCTATTCTCTATAGTGATAGAGAATTTAAAGTAATGGTCATAAAGATACTCACTGGAATTGAGAAAAGAGAGAAGGACATCAGTGAGACGCTTAAAAAGATAAAAAAGAAATCAATCAGAAATGAAGAACACAATAAATAAATTTAAAAATACACTGGATGGAATAAATCTTAGACTAGAAGAAGCAGAAGAATGAATCAGTGACATGGAGGACAGAGTAATGGAAACGAATCAAGCTGAGCAAATGAGAGAAAAAAAATATGCAAAATGAGAATAGATGTAGGGAACTCAGCAACTCCATCAAGTATAATAACATTTATATTATAGGGATCCCAGAAGAAGAGAGACAAAGAGGGCAGAAAATTTATTCGAAGAAATAAAAGCTTATAACTTCCTGAATCTGGTGAAGGAAACAGAAACTCAGATCCAGGAAGCACAGAGATCCCTCAACAAAATAAACCCAAGGAGATCCACACCAAGACACATAGTAATTAAAATGGCAAAAAGTAGTGATGAAGAGATCATTTTAAAAGCCACAAGAGGAAAGAAGAAAGTTAAGTACAGGAGAAATTCCATAAGGTTATCAGCCGATTTTTCAGCCAGATCTTTGCAGGCCAGATCTTCTAATAGATATGCAAAAAACAGAGAAAGGAATCCAGGAATATCACTAAAAAAAGCCAACTTACTATGAGAGAAGAGGGCAAGAGAAGAATGGAACAGAGAATTACAAAAAACAACCTTAAAACAAGCAAGAAAACGGCAATAAATACATACCTATCAATAATTACTTTGAATGTAAATGGACTAAACACTCCAATTAAAAGACACAGGGTGATGGAATGGATTAAAAAAAACAAGGTCCATCTTCATGTTGCCTATAAGACTCATTTCAGACTAAAAAACACCTGCAGATTGAAAGTGAAGGGATGGAGACACATTTATAATGCAAATGGATATGAAAGAAGCAAGGGTAGCAATACTTATATCTGACAAAATAGACTTTAAAACAAACTATAACAAGAGATGAAGAAGGACACATATAATCATTAACAAGAAGATAGAACAATTGTAAATATTTATGCACTGAACATGAAAGCACCCAAATACATAAAACAGTTAATAACAAACAAAAAGGAACTAATCGATAATAATACAATAATAGCAGGGGACTCTAACACCCCACTTAAATCAATGGACAGATTATCCGAACAGAAAATCAACAAGGAAACAGTGGCTTTGAATACACATTGAACCAGCTGGGTTAACAGATATATTCTGAACACTCCATCCTAAAACAGGAGAATACATATTCTTTTCAAATGCACATGGAATTCTCCAGAATAGATCACATATTACACTATAAAACAAGTATCAACAAATTCAAAAAGACTGAAGGTATACTATGCATCTTTTCTGACCACAATGCTATTAAATTAGATAGCAACTATAAGAAAAAAATCAGAAAGAGCACAAACACATGGAAGTTAATAACATACTGTTAAGTAATGAATGAGTCAATGAAGAAATCAAAGGAGAAATTTTTAAAAAAATACAGGGAGACAACTGAAAATGAAAACACAAAGATCCAAAATCTTTGGGATACAGCAAAAGTGGTTCTAAGAGGGAAGATTATAGCAATATAGTTCTACCTCAAGAAGCAAGAAAAATCTCAAATAAACAACCTAACTTTACACCTAAAGGAATGGAAAAAAGAACAAACAAAACTCCAAAACCAGAAGGAAGGAAATAATATAGATTAGAGCAGAAATAAATGCTATAGAAACTAAAAACAAATAAACAAGCAAAAAAACCAAAAGAACAGACCAATGAAACCAGGAGTTGGTTCTATGAAAAGATCAACAAAATTGGAAAACAGTGGCTTTGAATACACATAGGACCACTTAAATTTTTAGCAACACTCATCAAAGAGAAAAGAGAGAGAATTCAAACAAACAAAATCAGAAATGAAAGGGGAGAAATAACAACCAACACCATTGAAATACAAAGGATTATATGAGAATATTGTAAAAAAAATATGTCAAAAAATTAGACAATTAGAAGAACTGGAAAAATTCCTGGAAACATATAACTTACCAAAACCAAAATAGGAGGAAATAAAAAATTTGAGCAGACCAATTACTGGCAATGAAATTAAATCGGTAATCAAAAACACCCAATAAACAAAAGTCCAGGGCCAGATGGCTTCACAGGTGAATTCTACCAAACATTTCAGGAAAAGTTGATACCTAGTCTTCTCAAATTATTCCAAAAATATAAGAGGAAGGAAAACTTTCAAATTCATTCTATGAAGTAGTATCTGTTGATGTATTAAGCCAGACAAAAGTCTTTCCTTTATACTCAAAACTTGCTAGCCTGACAGATTGTTAATTCTCTAAAGATTAAGGTTACTTTATTTCACTGGCTGCTGGTAAAATATATCTTGTAAAACTAGCCGATTTTGAATAGAGGATACAGGGGATATAAATGTGGTGAAGACTCCAACAAACAGGACAGTGAAATACATACATTCATACATCTAAAAAGGCTGGAGGAAGCTACCATCGCACATCTTTGTGGTAGATGTGCATTAGAGAGATGAAGGAAGCAAAAAAAATGTAAACATCATGCGAAGACACCATTACCCTAGAAGTGAGGTGAATGTTAGCAAATCAAAGCTTTGCCATGTGGTGGGTGGCCTAGAGATAACATATTCATTCTTTAAATGCTGTTTGTCAGAAGTTTGAACATGGTCGTGAACTTGAGGTTGGGAGCGGTTCCCAGGAGAGCCTCAGGGCCTCCTCATGCATTCCATCAGCTCTCCTGGGAGTCCCAGGTGAACCGGAGGCAGGGCAGGACTGGTGTAGAGGTCATTCAGCAGCACCAGAGGCGCCTGGAACCCAGACTCCATGTTCAGGTGGCACCTGAAGGAGGAAGAAACTCTCCCGGTGAAACCTGGAGGGGAACCAACACCTGCACTGTTCCCTGTCTCCGTCACCGCCAATCTTAGAGACTCTTTCAAAATCCATGTCTGAAATTACCATCATTTAGGCTCCCTCCTTTGGGTTAAGGAATTATTTCTCCGAAAGCTGTTAACAAAATGAATTTTTATGATAAACGAGGAGGAGTAAACATATTGGTATCTGGTCCTAGTAGCAAAATTTCTGTCTGAAATAGCTACTTGTCACCCAGCAGACAGACAGGGACAGAGGATGAGCTCTGAGAGAGAAAGCAGGTGGCAGGACAGGTGGCACTGAGGAGGAAAGGGCACAGGGAAGGCTGAGTACGGGGTACTGTCTGGGGGGCAGGATGTGCGTGGTGCTGTGAGGAGGCTCCTAGGACGCTGGATATAAGGAAAAAGCAACAGAGGTGGCTGAAAACAGGTGACTTCAAGTCAAAGAGGAGAAGTGGTCATCCACATGGCCAGTGGCTGAGGCCACAGTGAAAGCCAGCACTCCTCATCCAGTTTGGCCCAGGGGGGCCCTGCTGCCCATGGAGACCCAAGCAGGACTGGGGGGGCCAGTTCACAGATGCCTGACCCCATACCAGTCTGGGTCCTGGCAAGGAAGAGATGGCACATTTGCATCAGGATAGTGGGAGGAAACTTCAATAATGTATAAAGCTGTGCCCTGGGTGCAGGGACACTACAGGAACAAGGCTGGACGAAGAGCTAGCAGCAGTGGCGCTCTCCTGCCAGCCCGGGCCTGAAGGCACAGGGCTGGGGTGGGGACGGTAGACACTCCTAGAGAATGAGAGCATTGCTGCCAGACAGAGCAGAGGACACTGGGGGTCCTCCCACTCTCTGATTCCTACCAGTGCTCCCACTGGCCAAACCCAACCAGAGGCCAGAGGGAAGCAAGTCCACGAGGCTGTACATTTCGGTCTCTGGGACACACAGCAAGCTGGAGAAGGGTCCGAGTGGACCTGGAGGTGCCAACGCCAGATAACGGCACACCGATGCCCCCGGTGGGCAAAGCAGAACAAGCTTTGCTATCTCACCCGGGCTGATGGCTGATCTCATGTAGAGAATCTGTGCAATGAAAGCTGGAAATGGCACATCCTGCTTTTGGGAGAACAATAGGGCCCATCTGAAAACAGTTTTACTCCTAAAATAAGAATATTTCTGCTGTTTCTCTTTCTTTTTCTCATTTGAGGTTTTCCTGATCCCCAGAGATGCAGAGTCCTGCTGAATACAGAGAAATCACTACCTCTATCCGGAGAGGGAGGGCCCCTTAAGTGACACCTGTAGGGGGCAGTAGAGTCGATTTTTAGATCCCCTCCTCCCGAGGAGCGAACTGACGTTTGCAAAGACAACAAAAGGTAGGAAGCTTCAGTTTTCTTACCCTCATAGAAAAGCCCATTTTCTACATCCGGGGCAGCCCTCTTCTGCTCTGAATCATCTCCACTCTCCGTGAGAGGAGTTGGTTTGAATTCTCGGACTAAAAACCCTTTCCTCTTGGAATCTGACAATTCTGATTCCCAGTGAGGTGCCACTTCCTTTATTGCGGCCACCTCTGGTTTTATGCACATGATGGTTTGCCCGTGTGCTTTTACGCTCACCATGGTACCTTGGAGTTTTACAAAGGCAGGCAAACATGAAAGAATAGACCAGCATTGCAAAGGGAAATGTATTCATGAGCTGCTCTCATGCCAGCAGGGGAAAGGGCGTGTCCTTGGCATGCATATACCGAATGAATCCATCCGTACACTGTCCCTGCAGTCCACATCCACCCGACCGCTGTTCAGCAACAGCCTGAGCAGAGCCAGGTTTCCTCTCCTTGCTGCCCAGAATGCGGCATTGGCAAGTGGAGTTTCCTTCTGCAGAAGCAAAACGAAACAGGCTCTTAAGATCAACATCAGTTAATCTGACCGTTTCTACGCAAATACATCATTCAAAAGGCGAATTTCCAGATGTGTTGTAGCGTCTGAAAGACCGCTCCTCCAGCCATAGATGATGGTAATACACTTGGTTATGGAACACATTCTGTTTCATACCAGATACCGGAACCACAGTGCTGATATGAAGAGCAATGTTGTTGATAATACAGCACTATTAATACTCTATTTCCCACCAATGTCCTCACTTTCCTGCCTCTGTGTCTTTGTTCACAGTTTCCTTTTTACTTGAAATGAATTCTCCCCCATCCTTCAAGCCCAACACCCGGGTTAAATGCTATTTCCTCCCCGAAGTGTTCTCAAATCCCTCTTCACCTCTAAACAGAGAGAAATCTCTCCCAATTCTGACCTCAACCCACACCTTTTCTGTGCTTTCAACTTTCTACCCAGTTCCAGCTGTCTGGGTAAATGTTTCACTTTCCCTCCACCAAATTTTCTTTGCTTTGGCTGGAAGTTGCCAGGGGATTCATTTAAGAATAAAGAACTCTGGGCAGGAAATGCTGTTACGTGTCCTCATATGGATCCTTCTTTCCACTGCTGTGTGATTTTAAAGTTGCAAAATTAATATGGGAACCATCCTATGGAAGGAATACAGCTGGCAAACAGTTCTTGAAAAATCAGACCAGCAGAGTGGACTGCAGTACAATTGCCTTTTCTAGAACACATCAGTTTGGATCTGTAGAGAACAGTCCATGCCGGGGGAAAGTGGAGCTGAAAGAGAGGTTCTGGAACCAGACAGCTTTGCATGTCAACCCCAGCCTTGGGCAAGTGACTTGGCCTTGGTAAGTCTTACACTACCCGACTTGAAGTTCATGGTAAAGATTAAATAATATAAGTTAATTGGTGAATACAGTGCCCAACACATCATAAATGCTTACAGATGCCCGCTTCTTTCCCTCTGTCCACTTTTCTTTACAAAGTTGAAATAGATAGGCAAAATTAAATTCAGAGTATCGATACTAGTAAAGAATTTTTTTGGTATCAGGAAATTTTCTAGCATTGAAATTATTTAACAAAAGTGCTTTTTGGGTGGGCTTAAAACACCTATCTGACCCCAAAGAGCTTTTGTGTAAGATATCTTTTAAGTATACTGACAAGATATTAAATTCAGTTTCTCTTTTTTTTATAAGCTTCTTCAAGGCAGGCCTGTTTCTTTTTTCTTTTTTTTAAGGTTATTTATTTATTTATTTATTTTGAGAGAGGGAGTGAAAGAGAGAGAGAGAGCAAGCAGGGGAGGAGCAGAAAGAGAGGGAGAGAGAGAATCCCAAGCTGACAGTGTAGAACCTGACTCATGAACTCGAACTCATGAACTGTGTGATCATGACCTGAGCCAAAACCAAGAGTTGGATGCTTGACCTACTGAGCCACACAGACATCCTTTAAATTCAGTATCTTACTTGCCTATGCTAAGTTAAAAAGAAATCACAACAGGGGCGCCTGGGTGGCTTAGTTGGTTAAGCGTCCGACTTTCGCTTAGGTCATGATCTCGCAGTTCGTGGGTTCGAGCCCCGTATCGGGCTCTGTGCTGACTGCCAGCTCAGAGCCTGGAGCCTATTTCAGAGTCTGTGTCTCCCTCTCTCTCTGACCCTCCCCTACTCACGCTGTCTCTCTCTCTCTCTCCTAGAAATAAATAAAAATATTAAAAAAAAAAAAGAAAACACGTCAGCCACAGCACAGAGCCATCTAAATATTAATTTTTAAAAATTTTTAAGTAATCTCCACACCCAACATGGGGTGCAAACTCACATCCCTGAGCTCAAGAGTCACATGCTCTACTGACTGAGCTAGCCAGGTGCCCCTCCATGGAGCCATCTAAAATGAAAGAACAATGAGAGACCAAGCAAGGTGGCATTTGTTGCTATGAGGATTTTTTGTCTGCAGCCCTTCAGCTCATGAACAACTTAGTGCTCTTAGTGTGTTCTTGGGTGAGAGCGTGGCCAAGTGGGGAATGCCAAGCAAGTGACAAACATACTTCAAATAGTTTCCCGCCTCAGATAGGAGAACAAATGCCACCTCAAATTCCAGATGAATAATTTGCTTTCCGTGAAAGCCTAAATGGGATGGTCCTGGGAGTTTTCAGGCCAAACTGCACTGGTGACACTCACACCCGGTGTTTGCGGCTCTTGTTCCAGTCTGGCTCCATCATTACATCTGTCAATAACTGGCCGAGGCAATGGCCAGGCAGGCCTGACTTGTATCATAAATCATGAAACAATGCCCTTGCGGCAGAGAGATTTCACAAGGCCAAAATGAAGTTTGGAGGGTGAATTAGGAAGAGAACGTAGTATGCATCAGGGAACAGCTCTGCTGACTTTTCCTGAGACAAGAAGACTTGAGAGTAATAAATTGTAAATCATTTTTAGTGATGTTGTTGTTTCTCTTTAACCCCAAATTATTTTCAAAAACCATTGGCGCATGACAAACTTCTATCGTCATAATAAGCTCTCCAATTGGGAGCCTTGAGGATGTCTCTGGGGCTTCCTCTCCTCCCAGAGCCAGATTTCCTGGTTTCCTTTGAGGTTCTAGAAACTGAGCTTGGTGAACAGCTGTAAAGATTTCATTTTCCCTTGATTTACCAAGAGATGGAGGCAAGATGAGTAGTTGATTTGGGGTAAGAAAGAGCTGAGTTCAAGTCTGAAGCCCGCTACTTCCCAGCTCTGTGACTCTGGGCAGGTTATTTAACTTCTCTCTGTCCCAGTAAAATGGAACTAAGAATTCCAGTGGAAGCACCTCCGCCATGTGTTGTTAAAGGATTAGAGGGGAGAATACATGGAAACACAGTTTGAAGGTGAACACTCAAGAATTGTCACTATAAATGCTATTCCTCACAGCTCTCTGAAATGCTGGTCCAGGCATTGGCAATTTGTTTGGTCACTGGCAGGTGATGGGGTCGGGGCACTGGCCAGGGGTTAGGACATGAAGTATGAGTCAAAACCTTGAGCTCTGCTCCAATGGCTTTATGGCCCCGCAGGAAAGCATGTCATGCCAAGGCATCAGAAATTATTACAGGTGGGGCGCCTGGGTGGCTTAGTCGGTTGAGTGTCCGACTTTCACTTAGGTCATGATCTCGCGGTTTGTGGGTTCGAGCCCCGCGTCGGGCTCTGTGCTGACAGCCAGCTCGGAGCCTGGAGCCTGTTTCAGTCTGTGACTCCCTCTCTCTCTGACCCTCCCCTGCTCACGCTGTCTCTCTCTCTCCTAGAAATAAATAAAACATTAAAAAATTTAAAAAAAAAAGAAATTATTACAGGTGCTAGAGGAGGAATGTGGATTACTTACTGAGAGAAGAGAATGGCCAAGCCCATATGAGGCGGGTGGCCAGGAATGGTTTCAAAGAGAAGGAATTCTCGAGAAGAGTTTTGGAAGACAAGCGGGGAACTGGGTAACAAGCATCCTAGGCAGAAAGTGTCATGAAAGCAAAGATGTGGAGGCTCTCCACAGCATTCTGGGAACTGTCACTAGCTTGGAAGGGCTGGACTAAAGGAAAGGAGCGGGAAGAGGGCAAGAGACAACGTGGGGCTGTAGGCAGTGAGGGCCAGATCCTAAAGGATCTGCGCTGCTGTGCGACGGAGTTTGCCAGGGCACTGGGGAGCCAAGACAGGGTTTTAAGGTGAGGAGATGCTATCGGTTTTGTGTTTCAGAAAGGTCCTTGTGGCAGCTTCAGGGAGAATGGGTTGATGACTGGAGCTAGACTGAGGGCAGTGTCTACAAGGGTTAGGGGACTATTGCATAGATGGGGCAAGAGAATTTAAGGGCCCGAGCTCAGGCAAAAATAGTGGGACGGAAGGATTGGACTGTATGTGCGGGAGAAGGTGGGAGAAGGAGGCTGGGCTGACTCCCGGGTCTCTGGTTTGAGTGCCTGGTTAGGGCAGTGCCATTCCTCAAAGTGGGAAACATCAGAAGAGGGGCAGACTTTGGGGAAAAGGAGTTCAGCTTTGAACATGCTTTCCAGTAAGGGGCTTCCTGGTGGAAAGGACTCCCGAAAGAATGGATACATTCTTCCATCCCGCTGTGGCAGACACATTTAGTGGAGGGCAGGAGTCTTGTGCTTGTTCAACACTAAGTGCTTGCTCTGTACCGCTTGGTATGTCCTCTCCACAGGCCGTCTCACTGAATCCTCACCACTGCTCAGTGAAGTGGGCGCCCTAGCCGGCTGCATGGGTGAAGGTAAGGGAGATGACAGACAGGCTTGGGGTCACACAGTCTGGTGCCTGGCACTGCCCTGTTAGCCATCACACTGTTCTGCCTCCCGGGGAATTCTGGAGGCAGCAAGGAATAAGGCAGTGCTGACCCCAATGACCTCCTTCCTACCCTCATTCCAAGCTCCTCTTCTGCCAAGATGGAAAGTCCCCTGACCCCGCTTCTCTTTAGGGTCTACACACATCACATTGCCTGGACAACTTCCAAACCTCCCCTGGGTATGATATGCACATAATCATAAATGCTGTGGAGTGAAGCAGGGGCAAGACCTCTAGCCTTTGAAGGAGATGATGCATGTGGAAACGCTTTGCTATTTAACCTCTTTCTTGATTTTTCTGATCTCTGCAACAAGGCCAGTGAGCCTCCCTTGGGCTTGTCGGTCATGATCTGAGGAATGGCAACACCAACCACGGCTGAGATCTTGCTCTTTATCCGGCATGCTAAGCACTTTCACTGCTCTGACGCATTTCATTAGCAGAACAACGGCACGACATCGGTGTTTTCATTATTCCCATTTTTAAGAAGAGGCAACTGAGGCACAGACATGAATTACTCAAGGTCATACAGTTAGCAAGTAACAGAGCCAGCATTCAACCCCATCTTTGAGTCTAGAGTCTGAGGTCTTTCCCTGTGAGAAAAACAGAGTGTAAACTTCGACATATGCCATTATTTTATTCTTTTTTTTCTCACCTCTACTTCCAGATTTTTGGCTCAAACACTGCTCATTATTACACTACCAGCAATTAGTTACAGGAAGGAAGGGGAGAGGAAACAGAAGGGAAATTGTTACTTGTACAGAACTGGAATTCTGATTAAAAGCTAAGAGGGGGGTAGAGATTTTATAAAGGTAGAGTTGAAAAAAGGGTTTAGATCATGTGGGTTTTGATTGTGCATTTATTAATTCAATCAAGAGGACATGAGCTTTTCTCAGTCATGAACTTCTTCGATGTTAGAGGCCACGTTAAGTAAGAATAGAATGCAGGACTGGGAAGCCATGCACAGAAGGACACTTTTGAGATGACGCGGGCTATTCTCATCCATTGTCCCCTTTGTGCTAAGTATCTGAAATTTTCAGAAGCTTGATGAACATTAGAAAAGCCTACTCCTGTGTTGTCAGTACGGTTACACTTCTCAAGGTGATAGGAAGCTGAAGAGAAAAAGTGATTTGCCCCAAGCATTCTGCCTTGGAGGTAGGATCATTCAACACCAGCATTTCCAAACTCAGGACTCAAGACCATGTGGAGAGTCTGTTTAAGACCTAGATCTCGAGAACAGGCAAATCTATAGAGAGAGAAAGCAGAGTTAAGTTATCGAAAGCTGGGAAGCTAGTCAGCTGGGGTCTAGAGTGACGGGTGACGAAGATATTCTAAACTTGATTGTGCTGATGTTTGCACAAGTCTGAATATACTGAAAAGCACTGAAATGAACACTTTACATGGGCGGGTTACATGATACGTGATTTGTATTTCAATAAAGCTGTTTAAAAACATGCATGGCTTAGGGACACCTGGGTGGCTCAGTTGGTTAGGCATCTGACTCTGGATTTTGGCTCAGGTCATGATCTCACGGTCCGTAAGTTGGAGCCCATTGCTGGGCTCTGCGCTGGCAGTGCAGAGCTTGCTTAGGATTCCCTCTCTCTCGCTCTCTTTCTGCCCCTCCCCTGATCACTCTCTCTCAAAATAAATAAATAAACTTTAAAAAAATGTGGCTTTGTAAATTTATTTTCCTGTAGCTCATCCAAATAATTTTAGCTGACTGGTGGACTGGAGCTAATGATGGATGAGATCATTTACATACTTTCAGAACAAGGATGGAACATATAAGTGCTCATACTTTTGGCCAAGGCATTAGCAGTTTCCATCATGAAGATGAAACATGGCATTGAGATGCTTTATCCTCTTGAGTAAAATATGCTCAAGAAAGGCCCAAGTATTATTTATCTACCAATGTTTCCTCTACAGTGGTGACTTCCTTCACTGTGTTAAGGGTCTAATTCCTCAACTGTGTTAGGCTTTTGACAACCTCAGTCCTGAAGAATAAGTCCTGAGTAGTTGAAACAGCTGTTAGAAAGTCAAAAGTCAATGCACTGAGATCTGTGAACTTTATTCCACAGAGGCCCAGACCTGCCCCCTGAGTTTGCTTTTACTTTAAAAACAATTCTAACTGGGGCGCCTAGGTGGCTTAGTCGGTTAAGCGTCCGACTTTCGCTTAGGTCATGATCTTGCTGTTCGTGGGTTCGAGCCCCGTGTCGGGCTCTGTGCTGACTGCCAGCTCAGAGCCTGGAGCCTATTTCAGAGTCTGTATCTCCCTCTCTCTCTGACCCTCCCCTACTCACACTGTCTCTCTCTCTCTCTCTCCTAGAAATTAAAAAAAAAAAAAAACAATTCTAACAAACATGTGTCTGTTTTCCCAACCAGAACAAATTAGGACTTGCCAATTATGAAAGAGGAAGTTTACTGGAGATAAACTGATAGCAGTGATTGCTGACAGCTTAATGGAGGAAGGAGAAAACATAGATGCAAAAGGGGTCCGTGTGGCTCAGAAGCAAATAGCCTTACATGTGATTACTCTAAGTCATGAATAAGAAGCTACCTTGTGATTTATAATGCTCTGTTCATTCTCCCATAGACTCAGCTAACAACGCCAGAGCTTTTATTTATTTATTTTATTTTATTTTTTAAATATTTTTATTTATTTCTAGGAGGGAGAGAGAGAGAGAGAGAGAGAGAGAGCGTGAAGAGGGGAGAGTCAGAGAGAGAGGGAGACACAGACTCTGAAACAGCACAGAGCCCGATGCGGGGCTCGAACCCACTACCGCGAGATCATGACCTAAGCGAAAGTCGGACGCTCAACCGACTAAGCCACGCAGACGCCCCTCAATGCTAGAGCTTTTAAACAAAGGCTTTGGAGATCCAGGAACAAGGGCCTCTGAGACTTTCTGAGGCCCGTGAAAATGAACCGTTAATCTCTGGCTCTAAAATCAAAGTGAATGAATAAATAGCTACAAAATGTACTATTTTTGTCAACTTCTATTCACTGCTAAATTTGGTATTGAGAAAATATTGATGGCACGTGAAAATAATTTGTAGGTCTGATGTTCTCAGCATACAAGAATTATGGGCTATATGTGAAAACTGTAGAAAAATCATGGACAAATGTAAATTAAGTGTTATTCATGGCTAAGTTGTTTTTAAAGCAATATTATAAAAACCCTTCCAAAAATGTACAATAATAAGTCTCTATTATGATCTTGGGTTGTGGGTACATTTTAATATATTTGATAGGATGCTGGCGAGGGCGAGTGCTGGCTTAGGCAACTAGCCTGTGACTCTACTCCCCTTGCCCTCAAGCCTTCCCTCTGTGCCCTTTGAAAGTCCACTTCCAGGAGCATCAACTCCTCATCCTTAACCCGGCATAGAGGACTTCCCTGTCTCCGTGCTGTAAGCCCCCAGCACCTCCAACACCAGCTCTGGGGTAGAAAATGGGGTTAGGCTCTCCTCATTTGTCTTCCAGACCTGCCCTTCCAGTCAAGTGGACAAATCTCTATTCTTTCACGGCTCAGGTCATCCCACCTTCTTGTCCTGGGCCTCACCTCACCTAGTAGCTGTCACTTCCTGATCACTCTCCCTTTTTCACTGCAAATTCTGGCACCTTCCCTTCTACCCACCCCAAATTCTGATCTTATCCTGGCCTTCATTTCACAAAACATCGATATGGTCGCTAAACCTTACCTCCTTTCCTCTAACTCCTGTGGAAGAGGGTTTCCTCCCCATCTGTCTAGTGGGAACCCCTACCACTAATGAAGTCCCACTCATGTCCTCTGCCTCACTCTCCTGAATGCTTCATCACTCAGCTCCGTCATCCCCTCTATCGAGCCACCTTAGCATCATTTTAAATATTTATTGGGTGGCTCAGTGGGTTAAGCATTTGACTCTTGATTTCAGTTCAAGTCATGAGTTGTGGGATCCAGCCCTGCGTCAGGCTCTGTGCTGAGCATGGAGCCTGCTTGAGATTCTTTCTCTCCTTCTCACTCTGCCCTTCCCTAGCTTGCACACATTCTCTCTCTCTCAAACTCTATATGGTAACTCTATATTTAGCTTTTTGAAGAACGACCAGACTGTTTCCTAATATGGCTGCATCATTTACACTCCTACCAGCAATGTATGAAGACCTGAATTTCTCCACTTCCTTGCCAACACCTGACATTGTCTGTCTTGTTGATTATCGTCATCCCAGTGGGCATGAAGTGGTGTCTCATTATGGTATTGATTTGCATTTCCCAGATGCCCTTGGCTCAGAGGCACATCAGTATATTTTAACTATTATTTGTATTAAGACCTCTCAATAGAGGCAAATCAACTATCATCCCTTTCACCCTGAAATGTGAGGATTAAATGGAATGACTTTAAACTCGTTTAAGAGAAAACTCCTTTGGACACTGAAGTCCGGTAATCAACTGCAGCTCCACTCTGTGCTGAACTCTCGGCTTCACGTCCAAAAAGTGCCCCGGAGAGGAGGCGACAGTGGTGCCACTGGCCTTCCGAAACGAGGACGCAGAACCGGGAATCCTTGCCGCAGCCTGGATCTGTTCGGAGGCGCCGCCGCTGGGAAGTGCTGACTGCGAGACTCCTCCCCGCCCCGCCCCCGCCCGTTACCCGGGCGACAGTCCCCGCCGCCCCTTCGCCCAGAGGCCAGACTCCCCGACCTGCGGCCCTAAGTACCGAAAGCCTTTCAGGCAGAGCCCACACAACCAAAACCACAAACCACAGGAGCCATCCTAGCCAGGTCGCTTCCTCCAGTCCCTCGCCAGCAGCCTGCGCGGCGCTCACTCCACCCTGGGGGCCGCGGAGGCGGCGACAGCGACCCCGGAGGACCCCAGGTGCGGGCTCGCCGCCGCAGGTCTGCCGCCCGGCCCGGCACTCCCTCCCGGAGCTCGCGGGGCTCACCTTGAAGGACATCTTGCACATGTCCGCGGCAGCCCCTGCGCGACCCGCGCGCTTCCGGCCCGGGGCGCCCGCTGCAGCCCGCCCTCTCGTCCCCGTGGCGTTCCGCAGTGGGGCGGCCGCCCGCGCCGCGCGCTCCCGCCGCCACCGCCTCAGACTGGGCCCGGGCACGGGCCGCCGGGGGCGGGGCGGGGCGGGGCCGCCGGGGGCGGGGCGAAGGGGAGCGCTGGATCGGGAGCACTCAGGCCCGCTGTCCACCAACCCACCCAGGAGACGCTGACCTCCGCTGGCACTGTGCGCACTCTCTATCTACACACACACACACACACACACACACACACACACACACACACACAGACACACACACCCCACACGCACAAACCACTGCTCACACAGCCATAATCGCAGTCTCACACTCACCAGTGTGCAATGCCACACTGAGCACGTTGTCCACCTTCAACATACACAGTGCTGTCCACACTCCCGTCCACACACCCGCCCTCTTTCCTACACACATTCCATGTACATCCTCAATGTTGCTACACATACACACACTCCAGACTCCACACACACACTGATTCACACATAATACTCCCACACTCATATCTGCCTAGACACACTACACACCCACCCCCAATCCTACACCTCTCACATTTTCCAAAAGAGCATGATCTGTATCGATGCCTCCCAACCTTCATTATCGCACAAATATTGATAATATAAAAGAAACACAAGAAAAGAATTCACCCATCCTTCCACCACCCTTTCAAATAGCTATTTTGATTTTCATTTCTGTCGTTTTAGATGTTCTTTTCTTTCTCTTCCTTTTCTTTTATAATAATCTGTTTTTGTTTTGTTTTGTTATGTTTTGTTTTCCTCCTGGGGAAAGAGCTCAGAAACAAGCCTTTTGATTGAATGATATGTGGTATTTTCTTTTTTGAAGGCGAAAAGCAAAATTAGAAATGTTATGCAGAGCCCTCCTCCTTTTGATTACACCAGTTGCTTCCTCCTTCCTGCCTTTCCCTGCACAGCTGGAGTATCTTGAGCTGTTCACTCCGGACGCATACTGCCTTGCTGCTGGTCCAGGGTTGGTTTGGGGGAAGTAAGAGCGGGAGAGTCACAGTTTTTTAAATTAAAAAATACATTGTTTTTAAAGCGTAAAAGACAATAAAAGCCTTTTTAGAAAATTCAAATGTTAAAGTAAAAGTAGCTGTCTCCCACCCTCACAATATAGGAATCTACTTATTCTCCCCCTCACCTCTGTTTGTGCCTTCTTCTCTTTTCTCAACTGAATTGGTGATGAATACTTAATTCAAAAGTAAAAAAATAAATAAATAAAAGCTCATGATGAAATAAAAAATGTTTATTTGTTATGGATAAATTGCATTACTTTGCGCTTAATTTTTAAATAAAAACATTAAACATTTTGATAGAAAATTTCAATTTTTAAATTGAGAAAGACTCAAAATTTTGCCTTGCCTTAGATGTTTATGGATGAGACAGTTTTGACGTTACCATGCAGCATTGTTATGACGATTGAGCATGGGAGGTTTTGCTTTCATAGTTTTGATAAACAAAAAGAAAGAGCATATATATAGTATATATAAATGTAAAGTATATATATATATTTTTAATGTTTATTCTTGAGAGAGAGAGACAGATAGACAGAATGTGAGCAGAGGAGGGACAGAGAGAGGGAGATACAATCAAAAGCAAGGTCTAGTCTCTGAGTTATCAGCACAGAACTCGAAGCAGGGCTCGAACTCACAAACCACAAGATCATGACCTGAGCCAAAGTTGGACTCTTAACACACTGAGCCACCCAGGTGCCCCAGGAAGAGAGTATATTTTGAGATCTGTCTGTATTATGCCCATTCCACAGCTGAAAAAAGTGAGGTTCTGAGAGATGACGTAATTTGCTAACGAGTGATGGCGCTAGACCTTTAATTAAGTCTGTCTCGCTCCGAGGCCCATTTCCTTTCCACTACCACTTGCTGCTCAAAGTCGGTTTTGGCCGTGGGTCTCTGGCAGTACTGCTGATGGGATTCTTGTCACAGTCACCGGAAAGAATATACCAGTGCATCATCCCATGCCTGGCTAAGTTCATTGTCATAATAAAACCCCCAAACGGAACAAAACCTTCATGATCACCACCAGGCAACTCCATCTAAAGAGGGAGGCCCATCCAAAACTTAACAGTGATGCATCAGGCCTAATATGTGAAACTAAATCCTCATGGCCCTACCCTCTCTAGCCAAATAATTTCTCACTACCCAGCAGAGTGTCTCCATCCTTGTCAGAGATGTTCCTTGTTATCCCCCTCCCTCCCATTCTTGGGTCTCTCTTCCCTCCCTCCTCTTCTGTCTGCTCTAACTCAGACCCTGACCTTCCTGGGGTTCCTCTTGCTCAAGTCCCCTTCCAGCACCCTGCCCTTCAGCCATCTCTCTCCCAGCCTTGCTGACACCATAGAGTTTGATGTTGCTCCTAGACTTCACTTCTGTTCCTTTTGACTCCTCCAGCCGAATTTAAATTCTTCAAAGTCAGATCCCGGGTTTTCTAATATATCTTTCATGTTCTTCAGGGGCTAGTTGCAGCAAGAGAGATGGTAGGTGGTCAAGGTTTATGAATCGTTGATTCAGTTGGAGATTCAGGGGATTGTGTTCTCTATATCTCCATGGTCAGACGTCCCACTACGCCTCTCCACAGACATCCATGATTCGTATGCACCAACATCCGTGTTCATCTCAAATAAGGCCATATTTGCTATCACCTTCTGTTCATACCAGTGAAGACTGTCATGTGTATGTTCTCGATGTCGCACTGTCCCAGTTTATGCTCCAGCAGGATTTGCTCTAGACAGAACTGTGAAGTAGGTTAGATTAGTCTCCTGAGCTGTCTTCCGCCTCTTTTTATGTGACCAGGCCCCTTCACCGCAATTAAGAGTCTGCTCTGGACTTGACTGTCTACATTTCCTGTCTGCCTCCCACCCCACATCTCCCAACTGGTTAGCTAAGTCTTTGCTGGGAATTTATACTAAATGAGCCTCATGCAGCCCAGAGTATAGTGGCACAGCACTGAGTACTCTGCCCTGGCATCCATGGCCCCTTTCCTTTTCGGTATCAGAACATTAATTTTACTCAGGTATCTCTCATACTCCACCTTGGGATATGCTTCAGGGAGCCCAGCCCCCTTTTCTGTCCAGAGCTCTCTGATCTAAGCTGGTGATAGTGCCTGGGTTAGGTGTGGGCAGATGACAGATCCTCACCTCTAAGATATGAGAAGAGGTGTGCTGGGGGCTTCTAAGAAAGGTTTCCTTGCTTCTAAGAGAGGTAGCCAGGAGGAGAAGGTCCTTTCTTCCTTAGGACACTGTCCTGTATGGATCTGATGCCTGGAATGCTGCAGCCACCTTGGGACCATGAGGAAAGCTATCCCCTGAGGATGGCAGGACAAATGGATGGTTTCACATAAAGTCTATGTTGACAAACGAGCTGCTCTGCCCCTGGACTTCTTGCTGTGTAAGCCACTTTCTGTTGAAAGTATTCTGATACAGGATGAAAATGGAAGCAAGGGGTGGGGGACAAAGGGTCAAGAACTTCAGCCACATTGATTAGTGTCTATTATGTGCCTGCATTTTGAATGTCACTGAATTTTATTCTTATTCCAACCCTGGGTGAAAGCTATCACTGATGATGAAATTGAGACTCAGAGTGGATGCAAAACTTGTTCGATATCACAAGGACTGGAAGTAAGAAAGTGGTATTTGAACCCAGGCAAAGAGAGTAGAACTCCTTCCTGCTCTGTCATCCATTCTGTTTTACCAGGTTTGTATGCAAATGTTTGTTGAGTAAATGTCAGAATGAAGCTTCCTGTTGTGCATTTTATAACCTTAAGGTTACAGATAATATTCCTTAGAACAAATGAATTGCTGACAAGGTACTATGAGAAGGGGCTGGAGCACTGTAGCCAGGTGGTACAGATAGATTTTGATTATTAGTTTTCATAAGCAATATCCCTGCCTTTGGTAGGCAATATCCCAACCTATAACTAAATCCAGGTGATACATATAGATTTTGATTATTGCCTTTGATAGGCGATAACCCTGCCTGTTTACTCAATAGATATTTTTAAGGTGAAAGTTTTAGCCTAATCAAATGAATTTTTTTTCTGATTACCAACCCAGAATACAAAAAGAAGAGAAAAAGGCAGAAGACCAACAATGACCTGTAAAACAATTTCCCAGAGTCATCAGGGGTTAAATATAGCCCTGATCTTTTTTTGAGCATGCAGTAACATAGTTGGAAGGCTGTGTACTCTGCTTTTTTCTTTTTAAAAAATTATACATAATCATGTGAGCATTTTCCTCTGGCATTAAAGATTCTTTGAAAATCTTGCATTTAAAATTGACTGCACTATACTTTATTTATTTATTTATTTATTTATTTATTTTACACTATACTTTATTTAGCCTTCCTCCTATTATAACACCTTTTAGTCCTTTCTCCTATTGTAAGTCCTTTCTTCAAGGATAAGACCCTATAAGTTCATTGTAGTTTGTATACTTAAAAATAATGCTAATAATTATTTCATGCCTAAAGTTTATTCACATCCCTCATTATTTCTTTAGGATACATTCTAGGATTCCAGAGCCAAAGCATAGGAACATTGTGAAAACGGACAATTCATAAGTAAACATTGCTTTTCAGGAATGCTACAGCAATTTTATACTTCCATCCAAGCTGGTTAAATTGTTATTTGAGATTCTTCTCAAAACTTCCAATGCCACTGTGTAAGCGCAGACATTATAGACGCTAAGCTTTCTATGTATCTGTTTGCTTTTTTATACCCCTGCCAGATAATATTTAGATTCTCTTAAATAAATGATATAGAATAAAACAGGTTAAAAATAAAATGAGGATTTAAAAATGGGACAGAGAAAATTGAAAATAGGAAAGATAATGCAAAACTGGAAATGAGGGAAAACATAAAAAGGGAAACAGAAAGGACATACAGTTGGCTCTAAGCTTTTAAGCAGCCAGTGCAGAGGAGAGACACAATCATGATGATCATGATGGTTCATCATGTCCGTCAGATCAAAACTCTTCAGCTGCATGAAAGAAGGCCAGCTATTGCAGAGAG